CCACGTGACAAGCCCCGACGTTCCTCGCCCCTCCTCCTCCTCAGCGGACGGAGCAGGACGGGAAATGAAGTCCAGCGCCGCCCCGCAGGACTGCGCTTGCGCGGTAGTGAAGGCGGCCCAAGCTAAGGAACTCGCCTTCCTAGCGCTATGCGCGCTGGGAAAGAGAGTCCTAAGAAGACGAAGAGCGGTGGGAAGTGGGATGGAGGGAGGCCGCCGTTTCCTACACTGCGCCATCTAGCGGTTATCACAGGTCAGGCATAGAAGTCATAAAAGGGCAAGGCATCGTAAAACGGAGGACGTGATTCCTCCTGGACAGAAGGCAGAAATGTAGGACATGCCCTGGAAAAAGACGACGCCTGGTCACTTTTAGCTGGGAGTATAACCGGGGTCCCCTTGCTGCCCTTTGCATCCCTAAAGCATTTGTTGTCGTGTGTCTTCATGTCAATTCCAACTCACAGAGACTCCAACATGGGGGCTTCTTGGCATGTTTCTTCAGACGCCTTTGCCTTCCTCTGAGGCTGAGAGAGTGTGACTTGCACAAGGTCACACAGTAGGTTTCCATGGCCCAGCCGGGATTCGAACCCTGGTCTCCCAATGTCCCAGTCCAATGCTCAAACCACTATGCCACACTGCCCCCTCGCTCCCTAAAGCATAGCACTGAACAAAATATTTAAACAAGCATATGGCTTTGAGCGAAAGGAGTGTAATTCGACAATGTTTTTTTTTTTTTTATCCACAGATTCAACTATCCACGGCTTGAAAATATTTTTGAAAATATACACCGTAAATTCCAAAAAGCAAACCTTGATTTTGCCATTTTGCGTAAGGGGCACCATTTAACTATGCTGTTGTATTTATTGGGACTTGAGCATCCATGGATTTTGGTATGGACAGGAGGTCCTTGAACCTAACCCCAGCGGATACCAAGGGCCCACTACCTTTTAATACTCGGGCGGCATTACAGTACGGCCAGCTTTGTCTACTGTTGGAAACAGAGTAAGGTACATAACTATCTCACATTGGTGTTTCTTGATGGTGGCAGAGTTCTCAACAATCTAAGATAATGCGGATGACAGCATATTACCTACTAGAGGAAAACGTCACTTGGAACAACTACTAAGGAAGAAAGTGCAAAGGCAGGCTTAATGCTGAAGATAAAGAAGAAGAAAAAGACAGGCCACGGAGGACCTACACAAATTCAACCTAGACAATGGGGAAATCAAAACTGTCAAAGATTTCTCGTACCTTGGATCAAACATTGGTCAGAAGAGAGACTGCAGTCAACAGATAACAAACAGGTTGACTAGGAATAGGAAGGGCAGCTGTGAAAGAACTAGAAAAGATCCCAAAGAGTAAAGATATACAACTGAGCACTAAAGTTAGGATAGTCCAAACCATCATATGCCCCATCACTATGTACGGATGCGGATGCGAGAGCTGGACAGTGAAGAAAGTGGATAAGAAGAAAATCAACTGGTGAAAGGGACATTATAAATGTTAATAATAATAACTGAAATGTGGCACTGGAGAAGAGTGCTGAGGATACTGTGGATGGCCAAAAAGACAAATAAATGAGTCCTTGAACAGATCCAAGCCTGAACTCTCCCTGGAAGCTAAAAATGCTCGAACTGAGGCTGCTGTACTTTGGCCACATCGTGAGAAGGCATGAATTATTGGAAAAGACAATAATGATAGGAAAGGTAGAAGACAGTAGGAGAGTCAGACTGCATACCAAATGTACAGACTCAATGAAGGAGATCAAGAGCCTGAATCTGCAAGACCTAAGCAAAGCAGTGGATGATAGAGGATCTTGGAAATGTCTCATCCACAGGATCTCCATGAGTCAGGGTAAACTCAAGGGTAGTTAACAACAATAGAGTTCTCCTTACTACATTACAGAACAAATTTCACCAGGGGATTTTTATAGGAGGTTGTGATAAATTTTGGTTACTTTTCTATCCTCACTCAGCCTAGCAGGGCCCTTGAAACTATGTTAAAGTTTTTGAGACAAAGGCTGCATGCACAGCAGAATTAATGTGGAATTAATGCATTTTAACTGCCATGGCTCAATGCTACAGAGTCCTGTGATTTGTAGCTTGTTGCAGCACAAAAGCTCTTCAAGAAGGCTAAATATTTCACAAAACTGTAAATCCCAAATTCCATAGCATTGAGCCATGGCAGGTATACAGTGCAGATACAGCCAAACAGTAGCGCTGGAGATTGAGGTTGTCACAAGAAAGTGAAATCTGAACTTCAAGATCTAACAGTCTTAAGATCATGGTAATGCATGCTCAAGTGTGTTTAAGAATTACTACTAAAGCCGGACTAGGATTGCAGCCTTCATCTATAATAAACTTGGTTCATTTGATTTTCATTTTCCATTAATGCAAGTGGAATTGCTATCCCACACCAAATAAGGAAGGACAGAAGAGAAAGTGGAGAGGTAAAATTATGGTTCATAGAACTCTCTCTCTCTCACACATGCACAGGCATATAT